AACCTTACGATGTTGTAACATCACTGTATGTAGTATAAACAATTGTCTTACATTAAGAACGTTGTGATCTTTGTAGAGCTGAATTGTCGGATATAATATGGGTCGAAAGGCCATAATCTTTAAAATTGATTTGCATGCGATTACTAAAGGTTTCAAGATAGTTTTTGCGGCACCACCCCAACATGAAATGCAGTAAGATATGATAGAAAGACAAAGTGCAAAATAAACATTGCGTATAATACGAGGGTGTATTGAAAAGTACTCGGCCTAACCAAGAAAATAAACACATACTAAATCAGTTATATTTTTATTTTTCTACATAATCACCATCAAGTTCAATACACTTTTGCCACCTCCCCTTCCAAGCATTTAGACCGTTGAAAAAAAATGATTCTTCCTTAGAGTCAAAATATGCGTCTACAGCTGCTTTGACCTCGTCGTTTGTCGAAAATCTTTGACCTCCCAAGTGCTTTTTTAGGTTAGGGAACAGAAAGAAGTCTGATGGTGCCAGATCAGGTGAATACGGCGGATGCGGTAACAGTTCAAAGCCACAGTTGTGAATTTCAGCCATTGACTGTACTGACGTGTGAACACGGGCGTTATCTTGATGAAACAGGACTTTTCTTCTGAGCATTCCTCGACGTTTTTCTTTTATTTCCTCTCGTAAACGACGTAGTAAGGTGCAGTAGTAATCAGAGTTTATAGTCTGACCCTTTTCAAGATAATCAATCATAATCACACCTTTCGAGTCCCAGAATACTGAAGCCATCACCTTATTTGCCTACAGAATCGACTTAGCCTTTTTAGGGGGTGGTGAACCAGGTCTTCTCCACTGTTTTGATTGTTATTTTGTTTCCGGTGTACAGTAATGAACCCATGTTTCGTCCATAGTAACAAAACGATTCAAAAAATCATCTGCATCGGCTTCAAATAACTCCAAACATTCGCGTGAAATAGTCAATCGCGTCCTTTTTTGTTCAACTGAAAGCAGTCGCGGAACCCACCTCGCAGACACCTTGTGGAAACCCAACTCGTTGACAATGATGTTTTGAGTTCGTTCATAAGAGATGCCTATAATCTCGGCTATCTCTCTAATTTTTAATCTGCGGTCTCCCATTATTAAATCAAGTACTTTTTTTAATATTTTCGTCAGTAGTTGACGTCGAAGGCCTTCCAGAGCGGGGTTCATCTTTCACACTCTCTTACCACGCTTAAATTCTGCTATCCATTTTTTGACGGATGAATATGACAGAACACAATCGCCTAATGTACTGACCATGTCATCATGGATGGCTTTTGATGATAGCCCCTTCTTATGGAGGTACTTAATGACGGCACGCTGCTCGATTTGCTCCATTCGCGGAAATTATGTCCGATTACTTTGTTAATAAATTTATAAAATCGCAACTAATTATCGCACACGTTTCGAACTTCACACAATGAACTAGTCTGAACTGAACTAAATAATGTGGGAAGATTTGATTTTTAGAATTGAATGGATCTGTGTTAGGCCGAGTACTTTTCAATCCACCCTCGTACTCTGATTAGTGAAGTGACGAAATGATTTGAAAATAAAGATTAATTTACGGACTCTGCTGGTTAAATCTTCAATGTGGGCTTTAAAATTTAGGTTTTTATCTAGAGTTATGCCAAGATATTTGATTGTGTCGACCGAATTAACAAGGGGACAGTGGCAAGCTTGTTGATATTGGTAATGACATGAGTGGGCTATTAATTTTACTGAAATTTTAGGTTGTGATATTGTAGAGATAGAAAAAGTAACGAATTTGGTTTTTGCTGTGTTTAAAGTAAGGGTGTGTGCACGAAGCCAATCATATGTAATGTTAAAGCCACTTTGCGCAATTTCTTGGAGTTCAGTCCAAGTACCTGCAAAGAGGGTAAGGGCGGTGTCATCAGCATATGAAACTATCTTAGAATTATTGACTTTAATATTACAGAGGTCGTTAATGAATATCAAGAAGAGAGTAGGTCCGAGTATACTACCCTGGGGCACACCGTAAGATATAGAAAGTTCATTACTTGTATAGTTGCCTATCTTTACTCTTTGAGTCCGGTCTGAAAGGTAGCTACGGAAAAATCAAGTTGAGAACCCCTGATACCTATATTAGAGAGTATCGATGGGAACCGTATCAAAAGCTTTAGCTAAGTCCTAGAATATTTTAAGGACTTTTTTGTTGTCGTTAAGCTTACTTACAACGAAAGTAGTTAATTCGTGAATAGCGTCAGAAGTGGATTTATTTTTACGAAATCCAAACTGTTGGGAAGAGATTATATTACAGTGCTCCAAATATTTTGCTAGTCGCCTGTTGATTAAATGTTCCAAAACCTTGGATAAAGCACTAAGCACCGCAATGGGGCAATAATTATTAATGAGATTCCCATCACCACTCTTGAAAATTGGCTGAATGATAGCCCTCTTGAAAGAGGTAGGAAAGACAGAAGATTCTAGACAGAGATTATAAATATGAGCTAGAAAAGGTGTAAGAATAGGGGAGTATCGTTTTAAAAAACTCGGTGGAATTTCATCCTTTCCGGTAGCTGCATTATGTTTAAGCGAATTAATAAGTAATTTAATTTCATCAGTGTCCGTGGATTCTAAAACAAAAGATGACAGATTAGATTTTACTAGGGTGGTTCCTTTTGGTGGAACTGCGCAATTGCTGGCGTTTTTTTGCGCTAGCTCCTTCCCGATGTTGATAAAGAACTTATTAACGTTATTACACTGTGAGAGCATGGTCCTTCCCCGGTTGAGCTGACCCATACGTGCTACAACTATACTACTAATATAACTGCAGCATGGCTCTACCATGTACAAAATATACTATTTTGTGTATACAATGTCTGCGCTTGTTAACTATTAGTGGAAACGATGTTACAAGTGCCTTGATGGTAATTTCAACTTCGAGTTTTTTATCGGCTTAAGTGCCTTGAGATACTATTTCATTAAATGTCCGCTTTCATCAAAAACGTCATAATGCAACGTCTGACGAATGCACGTTAGATATCATTAGATATGTAAAAGACTTATTTCACAAGAAGCAGTGATGACAGTAAGGGCAACTCATTTAAAAATCAAAAAACAGGCAGCGAATATTAAGAACAAGTGATTTTTATACTAAAACATTTAATATACCATGGTTTCAACATATTCCTACAATGTCATCCGATTGTTCAAAATTTCATTGGAAAGATAGTTTAAAATCAATTACTTAATTCCATCCGAACAGACATACACAAAAGTGAAGCGAATAAAAATGGATTTAGGATGCATTGTTATCGAGTTGTGAGCTACCCTGAAAGTTTCAGCCAGATAACTATCTGGAAATGCTTGAAATTTGAGTTGCAGAATTCCACTTGGAACGACAGACAGACAAATGAGTGACTTAATTAAAACATGGTAATTTGCGTACAAGAACATGGTTTCACATTATATATCAAATTAATCCAAATAATTGAAATTTTTGAAGATACTTTGGAAAACCTAAATATCTCTAGTTTCATTGTTGGTTTTTAGCTAAATATTTATTTATATCTGGCGTTCCTTGAATTCAAGATAACTAGTACTCGAAATTAAAACTACTTTTACGGATTTTATCGCGTTTATTTTAACTTTTTATTTACTTTTATTTTTAATTCCCGACGTTTCGGGCGCTTTCCAGCACCCATGGTCACGGGGACTGAGATGACTGACGTCCTGATGTCATTGTTAAACCCGGAGTACCTTCAGCTTTTTTAATTATTGTTTATGGTCCGATCTATGCAAAATGAACTGACTATGTCCTGAGGTCTTGCAGTGGTATGCTTGGGTTTAGTTTTAATTCTATTGATTATAGGATCCCAAGCAGGTGGTAGTACCCAGCCTCCTTCTCTATTGAAATTAGGATGTTTTTTAATTTCAATAGCCTCACGTATCATCCTTGGTAGGAATCGGTGTTCTTTCGCGAGGATTTGTGGTCTATCAAATCTGATGTAATGGTTGGGTCCGTCTAGGATATGATCACAAACTGCAGACTTCCCGGAACGTTGATGCTTCACATCAGCTATATGTTCTTTTACGCGGGTCCTAATTGATCTTTTTGTTTGTGCTATATAAGAGAGACCACATTCACAATCAAGCTTGTACACTCCTGCGTCTTGTAGAGGAATACGACACTTGACGGTTGGTAGGAACTGACTAATCTTCTTCGGCGGCTTGTAGAATGTTCTAATAGAAGCTCGCTTCAAGATATAGCCAATCTTGTCTGTGACACCTCTGACATATGGTATTACAGCAGGCACACGATCGATTGTGGCCGGCTTCACTCGGTCACTGTGACGTAGGCGCGGGACGGGAAAATAAAAGTAAATAAAAAGTAAAAATAAACGCGATAAAATCCGTAAAAGTAGTTTTAATCATGTATAGTGTTCGCGTAAATATAAGAAATCACTAGTACTCGTAACTTAGAAAGAATCAATCATTATAATTAATAATTAATAATAAATTAATAATTATATAAGATGTTTTCTCATATTAAGTACGCACAAAGCCCAGTTGAGAAATTTTTTTAAAAATTTTGAATACAACTTTACTTACTTTTAAAAATAAAATAAAGTCTCCGAAAAGCAAAAATTCATATCTAACATATTTAAAGTTTCTCTGTTCGGCATAGCTGTGAGACGCCCTGCCTGTAATATGCTTGCCTGCTTGTATTATAATATATTATAAGTAGCTTGCCAGGAAGACTTTGTTCTGCCCTTTTCAACGACCCTTATGTCCTATTAAAAATATTTAATTTAATTATTCGCAAAAACAAAATTGTGAGTCACTCATGGGCAAAAAAACTATCCTATCTCTCAAGTTGGACTAAACTGCACACGGTGTGCAAATTTGACTAAAATCGGTTAAGTAGTTTAGGTATCTCTCGCGGACAAACAACGTGACACGCAATATATATATTAAGATATAGTCTTTTAAAGTTTATTAAGGATATAAATCTCACGTGTAAACATAGTTGACAGCTAACACGCTGTAGGAGGGAGGTCGCTCGAGCAAGGCCACGGCGCCATTCCCGGTACCGATGACTAGCGAATTAACAAAATATCGCACGCAACTCACTTCCCACGGCTGACCCTCCATACTCACATTGATCATCTCTGGAGCTATAAGCAGAAAAATAAAAAAATTCATTAAACTGAAGTTATCATAAAAGTTTAAAGAGATCTTTGTCCTCCTAACTAGTGCACTTTCTTCTCAACCGACTTCAAAAAAGGAAGAGGTTCTCGTTCATTCGACTGTTTTTTTTTAATGTGTTACCTCAGAACTTTTTTCTAGGCAATCGATGTTGATGATTCTTTTTTGATTATGAAAGCTGGTGCTTCTCATGTGATCCCATATAATTTTAATTGATATCTCATCAGTACTTTTTGAGTTATCTTTAATAATGCGTATTTAATTTACTTCGACTACATTGATGATGTTCTCATTTTATTTATATTGAAGTCGGTTGTACAACATTTTTAATTTTACTGCTTGTATTTTAAATACTAGTAATGCTTGTTACATTACTAATATTCACGTAAATCACTACAGGTAAGCTTATAATATTTGTGTTTAGGAGTGGCTCACGACAGTAACAATTCAAAGTTAGAAACTTACGACTATCCGAATTTGCAGTCTGAACCCTTAAGGCGACACCGCGAAATAATGCACCTCCTTTCATCGAATAGTATAGGATTATGACACCACTAACGAAAGTGGAATTTTGATATAGGTGTCTTTATCTTGAATTTGATTATTCAAAAACACGATGGTATAATTTTAACTCGATCATAATTATTTGCGAAAACACCTCTAAAAATCACTATAGTTGATTTAACAACGAAATTACTTAATCTATATGCTTGGGAATCTCTCAAATATATTCATAACATCAATATTCATAATTTACTAGCTCATTATTTTGATTACTTAAATCAATAATTTTATAAAAAACTATTTTAAGATTCTGAAAATTTCTGAGGGGTTTTTTCGTCGCGGGCGCTATGCAATTTTAGACCTTATGGCGGCGTTTTTTCAAGTTTTTATAGAAATTATGTATTCACTCGAATCAGTACGGCGATAGCCCGGTGTTACTTTTTCGAGGTGTCGTCTTGGATACTGTCGTTTTTGTCTGTAAACAGTTCAACATAACATTGAGTTGTCGCCACGATTTGGCAAGCGTATTAGCAATTGCAGTACCGGAAGTCCATTACTTAGGATTACCAATTTTGATAGTATAGTTTCAGTTCAAGGGATTCCAAATCATCTTGGAGTTTATGGCATAAAAAAGGAATGGATCTCTTATTCCAATTACCACAGCAATAACATACAGATTAAATGTCAACGTTGCATGTGTAAGCTTAAAACTAGGTACACATACTATATTATAGTGTCGATTATTATCCGATTGAATAATGCTAATAAGTATTGTCGAAATATTTCGTATTTTTGACGTAGGGTTTGACTTGAATTTAAGCTAACGATGAACGATTGTTACTAAAAATCTTTGAATTATTCATTTGCTCTTCTTATTTAATTCTTCTGCAATATTGGTGTAACAATGTGAACATAATATAACATAGCAGCGAACATTGTTAACAGTAAAACAATTGTGGAGCACTGATTGTTGTATTTACAAAAATTTATAGTCAGTTGCAATTTTTTAATTATTTTAATACTTAAAAATTTGATATCTTTTTTTCTCCTTTGACCTTATTGATTGTATAATAGGTTCACCTCGATAAAAGTTTCATATCTCTCAACAAGTTGAAATGACACAATTAACGCCATTAAGAGGTACATACAATCACAAAGTATACTTTCAAATGCATATAAGTTAAAGTTCTGAAACAAACGCCAGCTAGTTCTGAGCGTCCAAATAATATACTTACGTTGATCGGGTCGGTTGGAATGGTATAGTACAAGTTTTCCACCTGCACAAGCGAACAACTGCTCTTCTTTGCCCCAGCATAGCGAATACGCGCCGCCATTTAATGCAGGTACGAGAGTTCGCGCCGCTCGCTCTGTTTTTCCATTTGTGTCGATTAAACCTACCTAGAAAGTACAATACAAAGTAACTACATAACTGATAATTATTCCTTCACACTGTTTTCTGTCTTTTTGTACAGTCTCAACTGAGTAGAAAATATTATAATGCCCGAAACATAGTCTTACATGTAAACACCATAGGCACTAAGATAGCAGTTAGTAATTTTATACCGGGAGTTTTTGAAACGCTCCCGAAAACGAAGACAGACAATAATACTAAGGATACCATTGATGGTGGGAAAAAACAAAATCGATCCCGATGAAAAATTTTTTTTTCTTTACCACGTTTAATTAGCTTTATTCACGCTCTATCATGTTAGTACAGCTAAATGAAACGACAATTTCATAAAAAAATCATGAAAATACCTAAACATAAAACCAGCAATGAAACTTAAATACCTGAAATCTAGCTGACAAGGGTAAAGGTACACGCGATGCTGAATCCACTCGGCTCGCAGCCACATAAGCAGATAAACGGAATTATCTACTTATGTGCCGCCCGCGATCGTACCAATACCTAATAATTTACAACACTTGACCAAAGACCTAACTTATCTACTTAACCTACTATTTTGCCACTATGCTAGTCTCCTTCTAGCCACTTTAATTCGAATGCACAGGTTAAATAAACCAAATAGCTGGTTCGATTCCCAGCTTATGAAAAATTTACGTAAATTATCTATCGCGTAGTAAAGTAAAGTTACAGCCTATATACATCACACTGCTGGGCACAGGCCTCCCGTCATTTCGGAGGGTTTTTTTTTTATCTATCATTTAAGTAAATGTTTATTATTCTGACGTATTCAGTTATGTACATATTCAGATCAGATCAGTACTAAGTTATAAAAAAATTTGGCATGAAACAGCTAACCGATCTAAATCCTTAAATAAACCTGCCCATACGTCTGACCATTGGGTTTGGTGCTCGGTTTGTCGAACAGCGTGCGGGTTAACCCTGGAATACACGTAGTGTATTTTTTCGGTCACACGGGCCATTTCTGGTAAATTTCGACTCATCCGTCCAGATGACGTGCTCAATGAAACGAAGCACACGTTGTTGCTTGTCTAATAACCAAAGGCAGTAAACTTGGACTTGGCCGGGAACTAAAGCTTGCACTTTGTACACTTTGTATGGGCGCATTCGGTTACACTTTAACACCTTGTGAACTGTCCAGTATGACACACTTGTTCCATCCCAACGCCTTAATAATTTAACGATACTTTATAAAATTTTAAATTCATAATGCACGCGAAGCATTCCTGCGAGCTTTTCCATGGCACATTAACATGTCCCCGTATTCACGAGTACTAAAACCTAAGCGTCAAGCATTATTAAAACAAAACAAGAAACACAAAACGTTACAACAATTTGAAATTGATTGAATTTGAAACTGTCGCTCACGCGCACGTCAACACGGAACTGTTTCAAAAACTAAAATTAATAAATGGCCTCTGCTACTTTCGTGTGTCCTTGCGGTTAGCATTTTCACCATTCCACAGATCATTAAACCGGTACGACATTCCCAACTTTAATTTTATAAGTTTAGTTATATATACTTACGACTAGTCTTCATATGGAATTTAGAAGTTATAGTTGGCATTTCGTGCGCAGTTCGTTACTACAAAAATGATATTGATATTAAAATACGTACGTAATTGGGTACTCACACCAATGATATGATAATATGATATGATAACCAAAATTTCATCATTATCTTTGATTTTTTACAATAAAATAGAAATGAAACTACTGAGTACTAAATAATTTAATAGTATTATATCACTTGCAATTATGATCGATAGTTAACTTATCTATCACAATAATCTAAAAATAATTCTTTTACTTTATTTGAATTAACTGTCGTTTTAATCCGTCCAATACTTTTTTGAATTTAATAAGAGGTAACTCAAAACTATTAAAATTGATTCCAAGTTTTATTGTGATTGCCGCCTCTAATTCTTATCTCGCTTGCAAATTTTAGTAAGTAAATTTCGGTTTGTCAACGCCGCAACGTGTGTGTGAAAGAGAAGGGTAGAGTGAGCGTAAATACAGTAATACCTAATGTATTGTTTCGTACCGAGCTCGATAAAAAGACTTCAGCGTCCACGCATTTTTTGACCCTTTATCAGATGATTTCAAGTATTTAAGTTTCACTGCTGGTATTGTTTAGGTATTTTTATGATTTTTTTAAGAAAATTTTCGTTTCATTTAGCTGTACTAACACGATAGAGCGTAAATAAAGCTTATTAAACGTTTCGTCTGTCTTCGTTTTCGGGAGCGGTATAAAAATAAAGTCACAAACGAATTACAGATTTTTTTACGTGGTATAGCCATACTACAGTTATAATAGTAATAGTATAGTTGTAGCACGAATGGGTCGGTTTGATCATGGAAGGACCACACTCTCATAGAATACCAGCTTAAAATAGTAGCTTAATGCTACTGTGTTTCATATGGTGTGTGTAGAGAACCGGAGACCCTTTTGATTTGAACCTTTTTACTGGAAATGAGGCATTCCATCTTAGTCCTCACGGGTGACAACGCATCTGCATTTTGATTCGTAATCGACGATAGATATAGATGTCTATGGGCCACAGCAACCACTTACCGTCAGGTGGACTGTATACTCGTTTGTCACCATATCCTATAAAAAAATATTATAGTCCACCTGGTGATAAGTGACTACTGCACTCCATGCACACGCATGTAACTGCAAACAAAGAAGGCTACAACAGTGTTGTCACCTCTAAGAACTAAAATGCAACACAATTCAAATTGGAACATAGCAGTGCAAGCACCAGGTACTATTTAGCGGCAGAAATAGGTATGATGGTGATACCACCTAGACAGACTCTTGGGCAGAAAAGATGTCCTGACACATAGTTTAAGAAGCAATGTCATAAATAGCCCACCTATAATCAACCAAATCTAAGAAATACCTTTTGACGTTTCACATTAATCATTCCGCAATAACTTTGCATAAGCGTACTCAAACGATTTAAAATAACCTTTTACGTAAATCCGAAGAATTATGAAGTTATCTATATTTCATTACAACGTGTATAGTTTTTATCACTAATTTAAATTCCAATCTTCCAAACAAATTAAAATATTAAAAAAACTAACCAGTATCAACTTTTTTACTTGACGTCGTTTCAATGATATGTCGCTACCTTACCGTAGTGTTTGCATGATTAAAATTCATTGTTATGCGAATAATCGGCAAAAATATTCAATTAATCGGTAAAAATATTCAAATAATCGAATCATTATTTTTTTAATGTATTATTATTTTAATTAAATGTTTATTTTTAAAATTCCTTAAATTACCTCTTCCTAGGAAGAGGGTCGCAGCAGGACTGTAAAAACTACCGTGGCATCAGCCTTCTTAGCATTGTGGGAAAACTGTATGCTAAGGTACTGATAGAAAGGGTCATGCAAGAAACTGATGGATAAATTTGGGATGTGCAAGCGGGATTTAGAAAGGGAATGGGATGTACAGATGAAGTCTTTTCCATGCGCATGATCGCGGAGAAGTTTCTGGCCAAAAACCAAAAGGTTTTTTGTGCTTTCATGGACTTGGAAAAGGCCTATGACAGAGTGGATAGGGATTTGCTATGGCAAACACTGAACTCATTTGGGTTGAGCGCTGGCTTGATACAGGCATTGGAGTCTCTTTATAGGGACTCTAGTGCTTGTGTTAGGATCAACGGGGTCTACTCGGACTGGTTTGACATCCATAAAGGTGTCAGACAGGGCTGTGTGGCTTCCCCGTGGCTGTTCAACCTAATTATGGACAGTTGTTTGCAAAATTTGAAAATTGAAGAATGCGGATTAAGAATGGGTGAGTTAACCGTCAAATGCCTTTTGAACGCCGATGATCAAGTTATTCTTGCGTCGTCGGCGGCCGAGTTGCAAATGATGGTTACATTAATGAACGGATCATTAAAAGAAAGGAGTATGAAAGTGAACGCAAGTAAGACGAAGGTTATGGTTTTTGAAAGAGAAGAAAGTAAAACGATTTGTGAAATAAGAATAGAAGGGGAGTTGATCGAGCAAGTAGATGAGTTTGTATATTTGGGCTGTGTATTTAGCAGGGATGGGAGATATGATAAGGATATAGAACGACGAGTGAATGCGGGAAATAGAGTAAATGGGGCCTTGCACTCTATTGTGAAGAGTCAAAATGTGTCGAAAAAGGCACGTATGGCAATTCACAATGCTGTGTTGGTCCCTACTTTAACGTATGGTAGTGAAAGTTGGGTGTGGCAGAAGAAGCACGAGAGTAGAATAAACGCAGTAGAAATGCGGTCGTTAAGGAGTATGTTAGGGCTGAATCTGAATGACAGGGTAAGAAATTGTGTAATAAGAGAAGAGTGTGGTTTGCAAGATGATGTGACCAGGATTAAGAAAGGAATGCTTCGGTGGTTTGGTCATGTGGAAAGAATGAATGAGGAAAAAGTGACAAAGAAAAATTTATGGTGCAGAAGTGAATGGCAGAGTCGGAAAGGGACGTCCTAGGCGAAAATTTATCGACCAAATTGGCGATTTATTGAAAACGGGCCAAATTAGGAGTACCCTTAACCGACGAGCATGTATGCGTAGGTGTATGGATGTGAAGGAGGCAAGAGAGGTGTGTCAGGATCGTGCCAAATGGAAGTCTGTAGTCTCTGCCTACCCCTCTAGGTGACAAGCGTGAGTGTTTATGTTATGTTTATGTCCCTTAATTTACATGAATCATGAATAAAACAAGTTTTTTTTTTACTTTGTCAACGTAAATTTGTGTGGGCAAAATAACTCATATACAAGGCCGCGCTGTAAAAACCACTACGTAATTTCAATCTCCCGCCATTTTAGGAGCTTACTGTGCTATAAAATTCGTGATTTTGTGTTTGTTTTCTTATTTTGTGACTCGGCTTTAAGTTTTTGGACTGTTTCTTCTATATTCACAAAGGATGATTGGGCAAAAGTAGAAGAAAAAACAAAAAAATTATTTGTGGTTTACTTTGAAAGAGATATTAATTTTGACTGCATTATTTAAAATCAAATAATAATTAATCCAAACAACTCAACTAGTTGTACTGAAAGTGATTGAATAAATTTATTTTTAATCTACATAGTTTCAATCTTAAATGTTTATAACTTTGCCTCTAGAAATAAGCAGCAATAACAAAAAATACGAAGAAACTGATAAATCTTGTGTTTTAAATTAGCCGTTTCCAATTTATTCTGGTATTATTCAAACCAAACTGTAAATGATTACCAATTGTAAATAATCGATATCGATTTTTTTATGAATCGAATATTGTACGTTACCTTTTTTTGGTTAGCATGCTTGGTGCCATAAGTCTGACAGCTGTCAAAATGTATTTCTTAGATTTGGTTAACTATAACTCCGAAAATCAATTATTTACGTTCTGGCACAATTTTTGTATATTGAAGGTTTTGATAAATTGTTGCTTAGGACGAAATATAAAAGCAGTAGGCAGGTATTATGACCACTCGTCAATGTGTTCATCGGAATACGTGGGCTGGATTGGGGCATGAAGGGACAGCGCTGTCACAGCTGTGCTGCATGGCAAAAGCTAAGCTGTGCTGGCGTCTATATCAATTAATTAATGGAATAATAAAAAACAAGTCATTAATTTTTATCGCAAGACAAACAGATCAGCCCTGTTTCTTGTATCCAACAATGTAAGTGTGATAATGCCTGAGCTTGTAGCTAAATTAATAACAATTGCGAGCTCACGATAGCCAGTGGAAAACAAGTTTAGTTTGACAATAACCTCTCCTTCCTTTCAGCTCACAGAAAAATCCATTGTTGAAGATAAGCGTATCACATAACAGATAAGAAAACATTAAAAATTCGTACACAAAGAATCATGTCCACTTTTCTATGTACATGATGCGTGTCACTTGATTTCTTTAACAGGTCGCCTCTACCTACAACTACTGTTGTATAAAAACAATTATTGTTTATAATAACATAAAATTTCTTTTTTCTTTCGATGTTTGTAAATATTTTGAGGTTATAACAGCTGTTAGATAAGGTATGTACACTTATTTTTCTTTTCTTGCCACACCATAGAATAAAACCGTTAAAAATCGTATCATAATCATAAATAATGTTAAAAAAAAGAAATTACCAAATCTAAGAAATACTTTTTGACAGCTGTCAGATTTATTGCACCAAGCACGCCAACCAAAAAAATGGGAATGTACAATATTCGATTCTTAAAAAAATCGATATCGATTATTTAGAGTAAGTTATCATTTATAGTTTGGTTTGAATAATACCAGAATAAATTAAAAACGGATAATTTAAAACACAAGATTTATCAGTTTCTTCTTGTTTGTTATTATAAATTAGTTATAAATTAATATATATTATAAATTATATATTACTTATTTTTAGAGGCACAATGACAAAAATTTTAGATAGATACCAGATTAAAAATAAATTTATTCAATCATTTTTAGTACAACTACTTGAGCTGTCGCTGTTTACATTAATTATTATTTGATTTTCAATAATGCAGTCAAAATTAACGTCTCTCAAAGTCATCCATTATCTCTTTGTTTTTTGTTTTTTCTACCACTTTTGCCCAAAGCATCGTTTTTGACATGGGCACATGCTTCAACGAATGAAGAAACAGTCCAAAAAAATTAAAGCTGAGTGACAAAATTAAGAATACATACACAAAATCACAAAATTACGCACAGTAAGTTTCCGAAATGGCGAGAGATTGAAATTACGTAGTGGTTTTTTCAGCGCGGCCTTGTTTAAGAGTTTTTTGCCTACACAAAAGACAATGGTGAAATAATAGGCGAGGAAATTATTAAGCGTCTACTTAAGTCACCATTACAGATATCCCTAAAATAATTTACTATGTATTATCTAATTGAACTTATGGGCTATAAAAAAAATAATAATACACAATTCAAAACTTAATTAACTAGTTGTTGTAGTTGTTGCGATTCGTCAGTTAAGACAGACAAAGATCTTATAATAACATACAGCCGAGTTTGACGTGTATTTTATTCAGAAAACTCTTCTATATATACTAATGCGTTCTTTAAGGATTCCCTCTATGCTAGTAACTACCCTATTTAAGTATATATGAAAATTTTATTGACTAGTTGTTGTCGTAACGATTTGTAAGTTAAGGCGTTTTATACCATACAGCCTAGTCTGATGTGTATTTTGTTTAAACTGGAATATCTCTTATTCCCGACTTCCTGCAATAGTACGACCGAAGAAAAAAATGTTCAGGATCTTAAACTATATTTTTACATATTTTGCATTTGTAAACGCAAGAAAAACAAAAGTCAACTGAAATTTATTTGGGAGTTCGCCATTGTCCTTTACGTTCACAAAGTAAAAAAATAAACATATTTTATTCATGATTCATGTAATTTAAATAATGTTAAAAATAAAAATTTAACTAAACAAATAATACATTAAAATTAATGATTCGATTATTTGAATATTTTAACGATTATTTGAATATTTTTTCCGATTATTCGCATAAGGCACATAGCGACATATTGAAACGACGTCTAGTAAAAAAGTTGATACTGGTTATTTTTTTAATATTTTGCTTTGTTTGAAAAATTCGAATTTAATTTAGCGATAAAAAACTAAACACGTTATAATTAAATGTAGATAACTTCATAATTCTTCGGATTTAGGTAAAAGGTTATTGTAAATCGTATAAGTACGCTTGCGCAAAGTTATTGCGGAATAATTAATGTGAAACGTCAAAAGGTATTTCTTAGATTTGGTTGACTATAGTTATTTTAAACATTCATAAACCACATGATGAATGAACAAGTTTGTCGTAGTCTGAAACGGAACGTGGAAAACACGTTTTTAATATATTTTGGCATGGCTTTTGGGCCTTTGAGCCATTGTAAAGCAGGTTCCGTCTCCAAAAGTCTATTGAGAATGATAAAATAACATTACTTATTTTCCTGACTTTATTTGAAAATTCAAATATGCGATACGAAATAAAAATTGCAATTTTATAAGATATTTTACATCCCTAGACGCGTTTGAAAATTTTCAGGTCAATAATGGACATGATTCTTTTTTAAAAATCAATCAAAAATTAATAGATAAGCCTATGAAAGCTTGAGCGCGAAGGAAAATATTTTGAGAAAACTTGCATTTTTAAGAAACTATAAATATTATGAGCACATGTGAAATCTGCCAGCGTGCATTGCGGCATTGCACTGGACTCTTTTCCTTTTCTGAAACTCACTAAAATGAGAAGAAGCTTGTGGTGAGCAGTAGGATACCTACATATGTTGTTATACGAGATAAACTTTTTTTTATAGTCAACCAAATCTAAGAAATACCTTTTGACATTTCACATTAATCATTTCGCAATAACTTTGCTCAAGCGTACTCACGACATTTAAAATAACCTTTTCCGTAAATCCGAAGAATTATAAAGTTATGTATATTTCTTTACCTCGTGTATAGTTTTTATCACTAATTTAAATTCGCATCTTTCAAACAAAGCAAGATACTAAAAAAATATCCAGTATCACCTTTTTTTACTTGACGTCGTTTCAATGATATGTCGCTATGTACCTTACCGTAGTGTTTGGATCATTAAAATTCATTGTTATGTGAATAATCGGCAAAAATATTCAGATAATCGGTAAAAATATTCAAATAATGGAATCGTTATTTTTGTAATGTATGATTTGTTCAACTTAATTTTATTTTAAAATTCATCAATCATGAACAAAACAAGTTTTTTTAAAAATTTGTGAACGCAAATTTGTGTAAGCAAAAAAATTCATATACAAGGCCGTGCTGAAAAAACTACTACGTAATTTCAATCTTCCGCCATTTCGGGAGCTTACTATGCGTAATTTTGTGTTTGTCTTCTTATTTTGTTGCTCAGCTTTAACTTTTTGGACTATTTCTTATATATTCGTTGAAGCATGTGCCCATATCACAAACGATGATTTGACAAAAGTGGTATAAAAAACAAAAAAAAATTGATTATGGATGACTTTAAAAGAGACATTAACTTTGACTGCATTATCGAAAATCAAATAATAATCTAAACAACGACAGCTCAACTAGTTGTACTGAAAGTGATTGAATAAATTTATTTTTAATCTAGTTTCAATCTTAAATTTTTATAAATGTGCCTCTAGAAATAAGCAGTAACAACAAATAAGAAGAAACTGATCAATCTTGTGTTTTAAATTATGCGTTTTTTATTTATTCTGGTATTATTCAAACCAAACTGTAAATGATTACCAACTCTAAATAATCGTTATCGATTTTTTTTAAAGAATCGAATTTTGTACGTTTCCATTTTTTGGTTGGCATACTTGGTGCAATAAGTCTGACAGCTGTCAAAATGTATTTCTTAGATTTGGTAGACAATAATAACTGCTTGAAAAACAAATATAATAAAAATATTTTTTTTTACCCTAGACTCAGCTGTACCAAATGCGAGTAAATTCTCTTTTGTAGGATGCCAAGCAATGGACAACACTTTTCCCTGAACATTCTGCCAGTATGTGGTCACTTTGCCAGGATACAGCTTAGTATCATCATCATCTGCAGTATCTGCTTCCCAGACCCTCACGGCCCCATCGCCAACACTAACTGCTACCCTGTTGAATACATAATAGGCTCTGAATACATGTCACTTGAAATACTTCTAATTATCGGACAAAAGTAAACAAATTATAGAAATTGTACATGTAGGCGTATCTATAAAATGGCGGTTGGATCTCATGACTAGTTGGAATTGAGAGTATATCGAGAAACCCTTCCACTCGTTTATGCAGTATAAAGTTCAGTGTAGGTACAAAGCGCGAGAGATTTAGCTTGAGTCATTTTACGAGTGAAGTCATTCTCTACGCGTACTAAGATAACGAGTCGTTGTTCTGTCCGTTGTGGTGATTCTTCTGGTGCAGGCAAGGACGATGGTGTTGCTGAGAGGCTGTGCTGTGTTGCGTGAGATGGGTGAGGTTGCCATTGGTTTGCATACTTTGGTGTTAGTTTAGTTTACGACGGGCTGTTTTCCGCAACTCCACGTCTAAGCGCGTATTTTGCGTGTGGGCAGGAATAATGTAGTTATTCCAGCCATGATATTTCCCCGAAGATGTTCAACAGTCCTTTGATGTTGCAAGCAACTTCGGGGAGCGATCCCGGCGTGCCGAGATGTTTAGGCCTTTATGAAGCGACTTCTGAACATGTCAGCAACACGTGAGCCGCCGTTTCTTCCTCTCCCATGCATGCCCTGCACAGGGGGCTATCAGTAACACCTATGGTGAACAAATGTTTGTTAAAAGAGCCATGTCCTGTGATAGCACTTGTTACTATCCTGATCTGTGGCTTGTTCAGTCTCATTAGAACCTTGGTTAGACGACTGTTTATTTCAGACAGGGCCTCCCTAGCTTGTCTACAGTCTACTAAATTTTTCCAAAGTTGAGCGTGTAAATTATTGAAGTATCTACGTACCAGTGAACGTACGTACGAATGTAGCCAAAGGGGATTGTTATTATAGGTTCCGGCCCTATACTTGCCAGAGCCGATCCCCTTCTGGCCATTCATCTGCTGCATCGTTGCCTCTAGATCCACAGTGTCCCTTGATTCATTGCAGAGTCACATTGTTGTGCTTACATACCTCATTCAATCGTTGATGGCACTCGTATATCAGTCCCGAGTTCGTCACATTGCAACTCAGAGCTTGTAGTACCGCCTTACTGTCGGTCAGTATTCTGATGGAGAAGTCTTTCACCTTCCTAGCATCTATTGCTATGGCCGCTTGGATGATACCCATGCATTCAGCCTGGAAGACTGTGTGCGGGTACTCAGCAGTGTGCATATGTGGATATTAAGGTCTTCAGAGAAATCCCCAGACCCCACACCTTCATTTGTCTTAGAACCATCCGTGAAAACTTTGAGCTCTCTTGGACACAATCCTTCCAGATGGTCAGTTTCCTTCAATTGTATACTGTACTTCTTATCGAATGCAAATTGTTTTGGGATCCTATCACACTTGGCTTGTAAGATAGGAATTTTTGAGTAAATTTTATCAATTATTTCTGTATGGGGGACTCTACTCTCACTTAAAAGATGGTCTTAAGTCCAATGGCAGCTAAAGTTGGTTCTAGTTGTAAATGTAGATGAAGCGGTGTTAGCTCCAGCATAGCCTCCAAAGCTGCTGTTGGTGTAGTCCTTATGCAGCCCGTGGCAGCCATACAAGCCAATCTCTGATAACGCTGAAGCTATCATATAGTGGTGGCTTCATTAGTTTTGGTCCACCATACCAGAGAGCCATATGTGATCATGGGCCGAATTACAGTTTTGTACAGCCACAGTATAGCTTTTGGCTTCAAACATCATTGTTTGCCAATCATGCTTCTGCATTGCCAAAAAGTTAAACTAGCTTTGCTGATTTTGTTTTCTATGTGTTTATTCCAGTTAAGTTTACTGTCCAAGGTAAGACCTAAGTATTTTACCTTGGAGGAAAGTTGGAGTTTTGTGCTGAAAAGACTTGGAAGATGATAGTTATTCAGCATTCGTTTTTGTGTGAACATTACTAAAACCGTTTTGTTTGGATTAACGGTTAGGTCATATTCCCTGCACCATCTCTCAACAATATGGAGAGCCGCTTGGGTCAGGTCGCACACAATGCTTTCTGTCTTTCCAGAGACCAGTATAGTCAGATCATCTGCATAACCGACTATGTAGAAATGGTTAGCATTTAATTTGCTGATGAGTTCATTAGTGACCATATTCCACAGGAGATGTGAAAGAACCCCACCCCGCGGGCATCCTTTCATGATCTGAATTGTCTGAGATTCACCAGCAATCTTTATTGTTCGTGTACTGAGCATGTTTACTATCCAGTCAATCAGTGCCGGTTCAACATTATGTCTACGACCTTTTGCTGGAGAAATTTCTGTCACCTTCTATGTCTATGAAGGAGCCTAGACAAATTACTTTTGTTTTGGATGGCCTCTTCAATCTTTGTTATTACATGGTGAAGTGCCGATTCTGTCGATTTACCTAAGCTATAGGCGTGTTGTTTTTCTCTCAACTCCCGTTCACACATCCTCTCCATCATCTTTAGGAAAAAGGATGTAAGGCTAACGGGTCTGTAGGATTTAGGGTCTGTATAGTCATTCTTACCTGGTTTGGGTATGAACGTGACTTTCACTTCCCTCCTTACCTCACTTATACTTATGTGTTATCATGTAAGATGTGTAATTGCGATAGGGACATACTGCAGTATGGTCAAACTGTAATTACTCTATTGCTGAATGTATAGTGCGTTACGCTGTGCTATTATTGATAATGATGATAATTGTGCAAGCAGGAGAGCAAGTTGAACATCAGCTCTCACACTTTTACCATTTTTAATAATTAACGCTATCCTGTTATTTCCCGTAGAATTGGCTTATCCTGTTGTACTTTCCGACATACAAAAACAACAGTAAATAAAATAATCTCAAATCAATAACATTTATGTGTTCTTTGAAAATTAGAATAATAAAATCAACCTACGAAAAATAGCAAATCCAAATTGTTATTTATAATAAAAACAGTTGACAAAATTGTAGGTCACCCATAAAAAAAAAAACAAATAAAAATTTCGAAAATATGGTTACATAAATACTTACTTCCTAGCATCATATGGGCATGGCTGTATGTTATACAGGAAACCCCCACAAGTTGCGTGAACAGATAGCTTCTGTTTTCTTTCCAAAGAGTATCTAACCAAGTTTCGGTCCTGTGCAGCTGTCCATATGCTCCAGTGATTTGTCTTAGCTGCATTTATTTCCTCAATAGTTTGGATTTTTGGAGCATCGGAGACAATACTATATAATCCACGTTTGTGAATTGAGTGGACCACTTGAAATTCCAACTTGTTTTTACTATAAACATAATAGATAGTAGGAGATTCATAATTGTTTTTCGTAGATATTATTGATTTATTAGTATCGGCAAAAAAGCAATAAAATAAATTTTAACTCTTTTAATAAAAATGGCAAATGATGTTTAGAAAATAATTTAAATCAACCGGTAATAAGTAAATGGTTATGTACCAATCAATTTTTAAAGGATTGCATTGCAAAAGTTGACTCTTGCCATCGGCTATCAACAGAGTATCAGCTTTGTACCACAACAAAGTGGTACAATTGGGTAATTTAGTCCTTTGGTTCTTATTTCCAGCATTAGGTACAGCACAACTGCCCACCAGTTTTCCTGTCTTTGACCATATACGAACTCCTCTGCAAGAAAAAATATATTATGTTAATTAACAAGTGGTAAAATTAAAAAATTTGTACATCCACTTTAATATGACAGAATAAATGTATTTGAAGTCAAGTAAATAAGCATTATTTTTAAAGATATTAATATAAATTATATATATAAATTATTAAAGATACCTCAAAAGGTATTGGTCAGATCTTTGTTAAATTTATATCGGACCACACGTAAAGCACCGGCTTTCAGATAAAAAAAGAATAATCAAAATCGGTTCACCCAGAGAAATGTTATGAGGTAACACATAAAAAAGAACATACAGTCGAATTGAATACCTGCTCCTTTTTGAAGTCGGTAAAAAAGACAAGCATGTAATGAATCTAAGCAGCTATGGATGGATGAGTGATAGAATCCTTCCCAAATATATTCCGCCTTGTTGTGACAGCTTAAAAGCTGTGCCTGTGTCACCTGAGGTGAAGTTGCACGGAAAGGGTAGTGTGAATATGGCAATATTAACTTAACTGAGAAAAATTAAAAAAAAATTTCTAAGACATATGAAGTCTGCCAACCCATTGTGGCAGCATGGTGGGCACTTTCTTGATCTAAAAACCTTTCAAAAATGAGAGCAGACCCGTAAAGGCTGTTATTTTACTGTACTTTATGATACACAAATACATACCCTTGTTTTCCTACTGTGGCTAAAAGATGTTTATGTGTGTGACTACTCGCTTCACTTTTATCTTCACTTATGCATGGGTCTCCTTCATTAGCCTGAGAAATTTTACTCAAGTGTTCCTTATATTCATTTTCAACATGTGTTTTTTCTAAAGCTTCTACTAGGCTAGCCATACTAGGTTCTGGTTCACTTTTTCTTTTTAGAATTTCTTTTTTTAATTTCATACATTCATCTAGATAACTGACATCTGTTTCAACTTCCTCTTTGACTTTAACTAATATCACCTCAGGTTCATATTTCTTTGGCCCAAATTCATCTGTCTCATCATCCTTATATATATCAAACAAGTCATCTTCCTGCACAACCACAGATTCATCAAAGCTGTCATCAGGAAGGTCCTTAGAAATAGCGGACTGATCCAGTATCTGAGCAGTATCTTCAGGTTCTTGCCTAATTTTATTCATTCTCTCGTTAGCACTTATCCTCTTATCAGATTCCTTGAGATATTTTTTTAAAACAACTTCATATTGCGGGCACCAACTTGCATGGGCAATTTCATCATCTTGCCCTCGAACTTTATACAATATTTTTCCAGTACCTAAAGAACATTTAGCTTTTTATAAAAAATATTTCATATAACAGACAATTTTGAGCATAATTTCCCTGTAACAGTAATGTCGTTATTGTGCTTTGACTTTTGGTAATTTTACATAAACAACATAAACACTCACGCCTGTCACCCAGAGGGGTAGGCAGAGACTACAGACTTCCATTTGGCACGATCCTGACACACCTCTCTCGCCTCCTTCACATCCATATGCCTACGCATACATGCTCGTCGGTTAAGGGTACTCCTAATTGGGCCCGTTTTCAATAAATCGCCAATTTGGTCGATAAATTTTCGCCTAGGATGTCCCTTTCCGACTCTACCATTGACTTCTGCAACATAAATTTTCTTTGTCACTCTTTCCTCATTCATTCTTTCCACATGACCAAACCACCGAAGCATTCCTTTCTTAATCCTATTCACAAGATCATCTTGAAAACCACACTCTTCTCTCATCACACAATTACTCACCCTGACATTCAGATTCAGCCCTAACATACTCCTTAGCGACCGCATTTCTATTGCGTTCATTCTACTCTCGTGCTTCTTCAGCCACACCCAACTTTCACTACCATACGTTAAAGTAGGGACCAACACAGCATTGTGAATTGCCATATGTGCCTTTTTCGACACATTTTGACTCTTCACAATAGAGTGTAGGGCCCCATTTACTCTATTTCCTGCATTCACTCGTCGTTCTATATCCTTATCACATCTCCCATCCCTGCTAAATACGCTACCCAGATATACAAACTCATCTACTTGCTTGATCAACTCCCCTTCTATTCTTATTACACATATCATCTTACTTTCTTCTCTTTCAAAAACCACAACTTTCGTCTTACACTTTCATACCCCTTTCTTTTAATGATCTGTTCATTAATGTAACCATCATTTGCAACTCGGCCGCCGACGACGCAAGAATAACTTGATCATCGGCGTACAAAAGGCATTTGACGGTTAACTCATACCATTCTTAATCTGCACTCTTCAACTTTCAAATCTTGCAAACAACTGCCCATAAATAGGTTGAACAGCCACGGGAAAGCCATACAGCCCTGTCCGACACCTTTATGAATGCCAAACCAGTCCGAGTAGATCCTGTTGATCCTAAAACAAGCACTAGAGTCCCTATAAAGAGACTCCAATGCCTGTATCAAGCCAGCGCTCAACCCAAATGAGTTAAGTGTTTGCCATAGCACATCTCTATCCACTCTGTCATAGGCCTTTTCCAAGTCCATGAATGCACAAAAAACCTTTTGGTTTTTGGCCAAAAACTTCTCTGCGATCATGCGCGTGGAAAAGACTTGATCTATACATCCCATTCCCTTTCTAAATCCTGCTTGCACATCCCAAATTTTTCCATCAGTTTCTTTCATGACTTTCAATCAGTACCTTAGCATACACACCCCACAATGCTAAAAAGGTTGATACCACGGTAGTTTTTACAGTCCTGCTGCGACCCTTTTCCTTTATATAGTGGGACTATCACTTTGCCTTTGGATTTGCACCAGTCTACCGGTACCCGCTTCAGTTCCCAAGCATAAATTAAGAAAGGTGTGCAGCAGGCCTGCTACCACTTCCTCTCCAGCCCTTAGCATTTCGAGTGAAACTCTATCATATCCGTTTTGGTAATTTTGAGTATTATATATTTCATGCTATCCGCTCAATCCCCTAACGGTCTCATGAGACGGGATAGCAAACTCGGTCTCATGAGCCCGCACCCACCCACAGCACTATAACCCATAAAAACTTACTACTTTTCTATGAAGAAGTTTGACATTACAGAATCAATATGAAATTTTCTATCCTCTAGTTGAATAAAAATTCAGTTAGTCTATATATATTCATTTATAATCAAAGTGAGTCATTGTCGAGTGTTCGTTGTTATACATTATTGTGTAGATTTGGATTTTTAAAAAAAACTATATTATAAAAGTTATGAAAGGAATATAATTTATATTTTTACGTAAAAATTTTCGAGTAATATATGAAAATATTAGTAATTTTCACGCTACCGACATCCGCTTGGTATGTAGTTATCAAAATACAATAAAGTATTTTTGTAATGATCAATCCATTGAATAACTGACTTTTGTTTAAACTATAGAATAGAGAATTTTGTCTAGATTCTATAATGCCAAACTTCTTTATAGAAAAGTAGTCTATAAATATAAGTTTTTATGGCATGCGTCCGTTAATTCCCAATTTTGAATCTACCGTAAAATTGCGCCATTTTCGTATGGTCGGCAAATTGACAGGAGAATAAAAATAAAATACATAAGAGTAACTGACTTTTGTTTAGACCACAGGATAAAGAATTTTGTATAGATTTTTTTTGTTTATAGAAGAGGGGGCAAACGAGCATGCGGCTCATCTGATGTTAAGTGACTACCGCCGCCCGTGATCAACCGCAACACCAGGGGAATTGCAGGTGCGTTGCCGGCCCTTTAGAAAGGAGTAAGCTTTTTCTTGAAGGTCCCCAGGTCGTATCGGTCTGGAAAAATCGCCGGTGGTAAACTATTCCACAGAGAGGTCGTACGCGGAAGAAAACTCCTTGTGAAACGTACAGTGGTAGACCGCCAAGCATCCAGATGGTGTGGATGGTATTGGGACGTTTGCCGCGTGGTGTGTTCACGAAATTTGGCGGCTGGGATTAATCCGAACAATTCCTCAGAGCACTCCCCATGGTATATGCGAAAGAAAATGCAAAGAGATACAACATCTCTTCGCAGTGCCAGTGAATCGAACCGATCGGAAAGCACTCGGTCGTCGAAAATTCGAGCCGCTCTGCGCTGGATGCGGTTAAGTGGAAGGAGTCGGTACTGGGGAGCTCCAGCCCAGAGATGGGAACAGTATTCCATGTGCGGCCGAACCTGCGCCTTGTAAAGTTGCAGACGGTGTGCTGGCATGAAATACTGTCTATATATATTATATTGTATATATAGAATCTATAATGCGAAATTTCTTAATAGAAAAGGAGTCTATAAATATAACTTTTAATGGTTTAAAGTGCTGTGGGTGGGTGTGGTCCGCTCCTGATTTGACGTACGCTTGCAACTCGGGGTGCATGGGAATTTTATAAGGATTGAGAGGCTATACAATGAGGGCTCATAATCCTCAGCCTACTAGATGTCGCTAGTTGGGAAGGTGAAGTTTTTTGTTACAAACTGTCACTGCGAAGTTTGTTTTATACAAAAGTTTATCAACATTAAAATTTCAAAAAGTAATAATATCAATAGTTTGGATTATTTATTTCTAATATAATTAATATAGAATATATAACTATTATTACAAAGAAAAAAACATTAAGCCTTATATTTTCCTAACAAATTAACTTTCTCACAATGAAATCTGTCATATAATTCGCACCAGTCCAAAGTGGCGCCGCTCTCGTGAAATAAAAGTTTGTTATTGATAAGAAGTTATAGGTTTCTAAAAAAATGACTCGCTTACCATTTAAGTCCAAAACAAAAATCACCCCTTGCTTTGTCCCCACGGCCAAGTGTAAAGCTATGTGCTGTGAGCAAGACATACATGTTGGTTTGAAGTTTTTGAGAAAATTTTTGTATGTCTTTACAACATTGGAATTAAGATTCCATTTTACTATATTACCAAAACAGCTCACTGTGATTGCGCACGCTTTAGTGCTGTATCCAACTCCTGCTACCCCCTGAAAAAATATTGTATAAATTATCAATGTTTTTGAATTGTGGAAGACGCTGCTTTCCATCTCCTGTATCACTTCTCTCTGTTATCTCCTATGGCAGAAAACACCTCCCCACATTGTAAATGAAAAAAGTGATTTTCAATAAGTATTGTTTATAATCTACATTAAATAAAAAAGTTTCTGTTTCTGTTGTTTGCAACATCAAAGGAATGTTGAACTTCTTCGGGGAGTTTCTTGGCTTGAATAATCACATTATTCCTGCCCACAGACAAAATACACGCCAAGACGTAGAGTTGCAATTAAACTTACGACTATCATAGCAGAGTTTAGGGCAACCTGACTTTATAGAAAGGATTGGTCGAATATGTTCTAACAGCGAAACAGCACGCCCCGACTCCACATAATCTTGTCTGCCCTACCCCTAGTGTTTTTGAAAAGCCGTAGGCACGGTGGGAGAGCAGCCACTACAAGCCGTTTTGCCAAATTGGAGGCACCCGCCCAAGCAATAGCAGCTGAGGCTGGTCACCGAAGGCGACCAATAAACCGGAGATGCGGACGTGAGCATGAGTGCCTGCAATTTGCTACGCAAGGGCGAAGGGACTTCAGTTCCCACAGCGCCGAAGCTGTTGCTGAAATAACTTTAGATCAATATTGAACTTTATCCCCACGCGCGGTGTGTTGCCGCGTAGGTGTGCGTGCAGGTGGGACGAGCATTCCTCAGTCAGTCATTCGACAGTAGTGGGCATAGAGTAACTTGTAGTAGGTATGTGTGCGTTTGTTTTGTACGGTTTGCTTCATGTTGTATATCAAGATCGGTTGCCATAAAAAGGAATTATCTGATAGAGTAAAAGACTTTCATCAAGATGGGTTGTAGGTATCTAAGTGATACTAATATAGTTATGTGCAAATATTGCAACGGGCATCTAGATGGCGATTAATAATATATAAATGGTGAATCATGTATGTGACATCTTTATCAAAGAGTTTAATACTGAATACGATTGTGGCCCAGACGAAGGCAGCTTTGTTACAAAATTTGTTTGAAAAATGAAGTGCTTATAACTACTTGCAAGAACATGCTCTGCGACTGACTCCTAAACTTAACACCACGCCAATTGTAACTAGGAGGAATTCTTGGTTCAAATCTGCAATCTAATTGAGCGAATATGTGGAGCATATTATTGCTTTTATGAATGACTATGAAGACGATAACATGAGTACTAGTTACCTGAAGGAATGTTTTGAAAATGAAACTCTGGCTCGCAAAATACGAGTTCAGTTGACATTCATATCCGAGTTCTGTCCAAAAACATGAAAATAATTGACTACTTGGAAGGATCAAAATATCCATTCGTGAACATATTATGGAGGAAATTAGAAGATTTAAAGTCTTTTCTTGACCGATAAAGTGAAGGTTCGTTTGGAGAAAAAAACTAAAAGCATTCTGTTAAACGAAAATGGTGAATTCCATCAAGAGCACAGTATTATGCTGAATACAGCAGCACAGAAGAGCTTGGATAAATTGTCTTCACATATGAGGTCCAACCCTACAAATGATTCCTACCTGCACATTGGCAAATTATTTTGCCCATCAGAAGCAGCGGCCGACTTTATGGAGAAAGAGGGACTCTTTATGATGAACTCTTTCTTCCAGAAGCGGCCCCACAGGAAGTGGAACTGGTCGAGCCCCGACGGTTCGACAAAAAATGAGATTGACTTCATTTGACGACCAGACGTCAACTGTTTAGTGATCGCAAGTGTGAAAACTGGCAGCGATCACCGATGGTTAGAGGCACACTGAACCTAAACGTTAAGTTGGAGAGGTCTCGTCTGATGAAGTCAACGCTCCGTCCCCTTCGTGCTCTAATCCAGAATCCCGAAAACTTTGAGCTCGAGTTACGTAACCGCTTTCAGTGCCTAGAAGATTGCAATGCAGTGGACGATATGAATGACAAGCTCGTGGAAACTGTCCATGCGGTCGGAGGTAAGTTCTGCAAGACCCGCCGCAGAAGAACACAAAAACTCTCCGATCACACTCTTAATCTCATGGCTGTTAGACGGGAGATGAGGCTGCAATCGTCAACAGATTTGACAGCATACAGGCAACTGAACAGACAGATCTCCAAATGCATGCGGCGAGACTTACTCAACTTTAATACTGCTCGTATTAAAGAAGCGATCGAGCGGAACCAGGGCTCCAAAGTCTTTGCCAGAGATCTGTCTGCCAGTAAGAGCCAACTGTCAAAGCTGAAGACTGAGTGTGGCAGCATCGTTTCCGAGACACCTGAGATTTTGAGTGAATTTGAGAGGTTCTATGGGCAGCTGTACACATCATCGTTGGAGCCACACGCAAGTGTGAGTAACGATCCAAGAGCAAGTCTTATCCGACATTATTCCGATGATATCCCGGACGTCAGTCTAAGCGAGATTAGAATGGCTCTCCAGCACCTTAAAAACGGCAGGGCCCCAGGCGAGGATGGAATTACAGCGGAGCTTCTGAAAGCGGGTGGAACACCGGTACTTGAAGTCCTTCAGAAGCTCTTTAATTCCGTCCTCCATGGTGGCACTACTCCAGAGGCGTGGAGCAGAAGTGCGGTGGTCTTGTTCTTTAAGAAAGGCGACAACGCTCTCTTGAAGAACTACAGACCGATTTCCCTTCTGAGCCGCGTCTACGTGCTGTTTTCGAGAGTCATTACGAATCGTCTCGTACGCAGACTCGACGACTTCCAGTCTCCCGAACAAGCTGGTTTCCGAAAAGGCTTCAGTACCATAGACCACATACATACCCTGCGGCAGATTGTACAGAAGACCGAAGAGTACAATCTGCCACATTGCCTGGCGTATGTGGACTATGAGAAAGCCTTTGATTCCGTCGAAATTTGGGCGGTACTACAGTCCCTTCAGCGATGCCAAGTTGACTGTCGGTATATCGAAGTGCTGAAATGTTTGTACAGTAGGGCTACGATGGCTATACGAGTACAGAACCAGAGCTCGAAACCTATCCAACTGCAGAGAGGTGTAAGACAGGGTGACGTTATATCTCCGAAACTCTTCACCGCTGCATTGGAAGACGTTTTCAAGCTACTGGACTGGAAAGGATACGGTATTAACATCAATGGCGAGTACATCACTCACCTTCGATTTGCCGACGATATAGTCCTTATGGCAGAATCGCTGGAGGACTTAAGCACTATGCTCAATGACCTCAATAGTGCCTCCCAACGGATAGGTCTTAAGATGAACATGGACAAAACAAAGATTATGTTTAATGACCATGTCACACCTATGCCGGTAGTTATTGGGAGCACTATGCTCGAAGTATTTGACGAGTACGTTTACCTGGGACAAATAGTCCGACTAGGTAAGTCCAACTTCGACCGAGAGGTCAATCGACGGATTCAACTCGGCTGGGCAGCGTTCGGGAAATTACGACATATCTTCTCGTCAGGTATACCTCAATCCCCCCCGAACGGGTTCCCGCCTTGTCGTGGCGGGGGGGCTTAGTAGCCGTGGCTTGGTTTCCCACGGTGAACAAAGAGGAACCCACGTGGCTGGCCCGAGGTGAAGGCCGGCCTGAGGTGGCCACTCCGAGTGCTTCCTCCTCCGGGAGCCCACTTCGGATGTGTGCTGGTGGACTGCAGCGAGTGGGGACTCCGCACCCTCTACCGCTGCAGCCGAGGTGGAGTCGCGGAGGAAGAGGAGTGTTGGTATTGCGAGGCGCCGCTCTCCCTATCCTCCGCAGCCGAATCTTGGTTGGCGGCGGAGCCATAGACCAGATCCGCCGCTGGGGTCGGGAAGGCTAGTACTTCTAAGTGCTCGTTTTTCCTGGCCCCATGGCCTTCGCGCATCGGACGCGGGGGGCGTCTGTTGTGCAGATGCAATTGGAGGCCGTGGAGGAAGGCGTGCCATGTGTTCTGGTGCGCCTTACTTGGGAAGGAGAACGGGGAGGAATATTCCTCTCCCGAGGAGGTGCTGCCATGGGGCGGCAGTCGCTGGTAGGGCCGCGGAAGTGTGCGAAAGCGTTCCCGTAGCCCTGCCAATATGCGACGAAGGTGGAACACCATGGGGATTTAGTCGGTGCGAGTCCGACATAACCCGTCCTTGCCCCCGCGAGGCGGGTATGCGTAGGCATTTCCCCATGTTAAAAAAAAAAAAAAAGGTATACCTCAATCTCTAAAAACTAGATTGTACAACCAGTGCGTGTTGCCAGTGATGACTTACGGATCAGAGACGTGGTCCTTCACTGCTGGCCGTATGAGGACGCTCAAGGTCGCTCAGCGAGCTATGGAGAGGGCTATGCTCGGAGTTTCTCTGCGTGATAGACTCAGAAATGAGGATATCCGCAGTAAAACCAGAGTGCCCGACATAGCCCAACGGATTAGTAAGCTGAAGTGGCAATGGGCCGGCCATATAGCTCGAAGAACCGATAACCGATGGGGAAGAAAGGTTCTCGAGTGGCAGCCTCGTACCGGTAGGCGTAGTGTAGGGTGACCCCCCACTAGATGGAGTGACGACCTGGTAAGATATGCAGGAAGTCGATGGATGCAGGTGGATCAGGACCGTGCTTTGTGGCATTAATTGGGGGAGGCCTATGTTCAGCAGTGGACTTGTGAAGGGCTGTAATGATGATAATGATGATGATGAAGCAGCGGCCTTGACCACTTCGTTTCTAGACACTAACTCAACACTGGAGAGCTTCTCCAAAATACCATTTTACAGGGATATACCACAGGATGAACTCTTAAGTGAATATGCTCATTTCCATAGACAACTCGTCAATGTTGTTCAGCAAGAAATTCCTGTTAACGTCATGCAGATTTTACTTGCACCAAATTTTGCTACCAGAGGATCGCGAATACAGCTATACAGTTTTCATAGCCCAGCCCAGCAACAGTGTAGATGCTGAAAGATATTTCAGTATCTACAATGTCATCATAAATGACCGAAGGCAAAGGCTTAAGCAAGAAAATATAGAGACAAGCACGATGTTAGCTTTGAACTAA